AATATTTAATTTGTACGTTAAATATTTAGTTTATAAACTAGGACATTTATAAATGTATGAATCATATGGTGAAAAACTGACTGTAAAATAAATCTGTTCTTTTTTTCTTATAAAAGTCAAAATAAAACAAAAATATTGGTGGTAATTTTTGACTGTGTAACTTTACAAATGGCACCACAAAGATGTGTCTTTACAAATAATTGTGTTTTTAAAGTGTAAATGAATAGTTATCTGTTACTAGTATCTCTGGAGTGCTTACAGAACAGAAGTGTAGAAAAGATGAAGCAAACCTTCGATTATGAACGGCTCCTGCCCTGAGGTGAGCAGTCTCATTTGAATAAACAGCATCAGGACATGTCTGTGGTCTGTAACGTGTTAGCAGGCAGATTCTCAGTGCTGTCACACTGCCTGACGTCAGACAAATGAATGTGTGAGATAAGTCCGGGCCGAGCCGAGCCTTTCATCCTGTGGACGTTTGGATGGAGACACTGACAGGTCGGGGTTAATGACAGGCTGTCACTGCGTCTTTAATGTACTACGTGTTGAGTAAAGAGCATTTACTTTTTCACATAACGGTTTTCAGCCGACAAGGAAAGGGTTTTTGCAGTGTTGTTATATTCAAACGTTAATGTCTGAGTGCACACCAGCCTAATGAGTTCATTCTGCATGAACAGTCTGTCATCCCTCCCAAACATCATTTCCTTCACAGGAAGTCTGACTGTAAGTGAACACTTGTTAAAACAGAAGAATGTGCTTTAATTTGTCAAAGAGATCTGAGCTGACAACTTTAGTAAAGTCCACTAGAACAACCTTTCAGGGCCCCTGACCTCGGGAGGGACTGACCCCTGACCTTATTTGGGCCTCTTTTATGAGGACTTTTTTTGACTCTGGCCAGATGGCTAAACTATCAAAGGCTTTTTTATGAGAAAAATCTGCAGGCAAGAGCTGAGTAGTATATCTATCTCATTGTGTGGAGAACCAAGCCTTTAACTTCCCACTCAGTGCGTGAAAAGGACAGATGTACACAAGTGTGTGTCTGTAACAAAGTCTGATTATGTTTCTTTTTGAAATAATTTATCAAAGAAAGTAAATAGTCTGGCCGGCCTTAGTAAAATTCTTGTTGTGCCTTCATTATCAGCTGCTTACTATTGATTCAGCCCTCCATCACTAACTAACACTAACAGCATCAGCAAACAAGAAGAAAAGAGATTGATTTTCTGTCTTTGTAACTTGAAAGCAGCTGTCTGTGACAGAAAGATGAAGCAGGCAGCCTCCTCCTGCTCTTAAACCTTTTAAAGTCATGTTTTGCTGGAATGTAAAAGTCATGAATGTACAGATTTTATACCTGACCTGACAGAAGCTGGAGATGACACATGAGGATAAATCAGTGGAAATGTTTGTGTTTGGAAAAGAGAAGAGTTGTGTGTCCCAGGGTCACTGTAACTCGCCATGCTTTAATCAATCATGTATTTATGGTCTGTTCTGCTGGACTGAGTGTCTGGACCAGAGCTTATAGGTCCTGAACATCACAAACAAATGTCGAGGATTTGATGCAGGACAAGTGTTTCTGTGTTTCTGTGTTTATTTTTCTTTCTGCTCTCGGAGGAGTAAGACACTTCTCCCTTCTCTCCTGCCCTTCCTTATCTTCCCTGCTTTGCTGCTTGGAGCCTTCTCTACATTTTTCATCCGAAACCAGAAATTATGGATATTTTTATTTTTATGGATTTTGTTAGCTGGTCTCCTAATAAAATGTTTGGAACAAAGTTTTTTCTTCTTCCATGGGAGGACATGTCAAAGGTGGGACCTCTGTTCTTCTCTGTTCTAGATTTATGTCTGGACTCCGATCACTGGATTCTATAGATTGGCTTGGTGGTCTCCTGGTGGTCTGCAAAACAGTGTCAGTGGCTGTTMATCTCCTGGCTGACTGACAAATTTGATGGATGACAGTATTCTATCAGAACTGACATTGTGCCTTGAGCGAGCTGGACTCGGTCTGCAAGCGGTTCTATTGAGGGTCGCGGGCCGGCTGTGGTCCCTGGACTTTGTTGGCCAGATTTGATCTTGGAGAAGCTGATAGATCGGCTCAGCAGAATTTGTCCACACCATTTGTCTGATTGGATTCACCACATTGAGATGTACTAACAGACATTAAAGCAGCTGGAAAATTGTTATCATCTGCCTGTCTCTTCTGTTCCCAAAACAACTGATTACAGAATCTGGATCTCCCCGACAACRGCCTTGAGTTGTTGACTAAATTCTTTCTGGCTGGATTATGTTGACAAGGCTCTACCCCCCACCTCCCCCCTCCTCTCTCATCCATCTAATCTGGTTTCCTGAGCAGGCTAAAAGCTGCACAGAAATGAACAGTTACCATCAATATTCTGGACTATAGCTGCGCTGGTTCTGGGGACTGGATTTTTCGGGCCCCACTAAACTCACTTACTCCTCTGGCTAATAAATCTGCCCTATGCAGAGGTTTTTCATAAACACCATAGTGTGTCACAGTTTTGATTTA